AAATTTGAATCATTCCTCTTTCACACATCCTTGTCCGATTTCGTTGAAAAGTCCCATCATTTTAAGTTCTTGAAGATAATTTTTCCTGATTTTTATCGAGAGTATTCTTAAGTGACTTCGATCATTTAAGATGTAATTAACTATAGGGGCTTTGCCCTTATAGGAAGCTTTTCCGAACCCAACTTGAACCCAACTTAAAATAAACCCTATTTAATTTTTCATATTAAATGAGAGAATTTGTCGGCAAATAAAATGGTTTCGCAGATCAAACTGACGTCATATATTTCTTAGTTTATTTGATCGAGTCTAATCCTCAAGTCTTGTGTTTATCCCTCGGGATAGATACACAGTTTGAGGTAGAATGTTATTTCATTTAAACTGTGAAAATTATTGGGTCAGTTTGATTTCATATTTTTCTAAACTTAAATCTATATGTAAATTAAAACGTCTTTCCGAAGCAGGTGACGAGATTTCCATTCCGACGACCGACAGCTTCCTACGGGCGACTCACCACACCTTGTGCTGGCAGGATGCCTTTATTTAACTTCTTATAGTCAATGCACATTCTGAAACTCCCATCCTTTATGAATAATAATGGAGCTCTCCAATGTGAGGTGTCAAGTCTGATAAATCCCTTATCTAATAACTCCTATAATTGACTCTTCAACTCTTGTAACTCTTTAACGGTCATTCTCTAGAGTGCCTGAGATTAGAAAACATCTATTCCATTATTTTATGCTTTTTCCTATTCCAATATTGAATGAAAGGAATTATGAATGTGGTGAAATAATATGATAAATTATGTGTTAGAATAGTAACATTTCTATCATAATTGATTTGTTATCTAAATTTTGATAGTTGCACGATTTTGTCTATTATATATATCTTGACTCTCATAAACTAGCAAGAGCTTAATTGTAAAATCAAAATCAATCTCTCGCACTGGTGTAACCCTGATACATCACAAGAAAAATTTTCTAGATTTTCTTTTACCACTGGACTTAAAGGTTTTATTTCCTTAGAGCTATATGTTACATGAGTAAGAGATCCTTGATTTCCACGATTTAACAATTTCAAAGCTTTCAAAGAAATAATTATTATAGATGTCAATCTTCTATCACCACAAAATTTAAATTCTGGATATTTAGTTTGATAGTCTTTTTATTACAATCAATTGTAACAATTTTTAAGCAACCAATCAATGCCTAAAATTTTCTCAAATTCCACCAAAAGTTACACAATCAAATGTGCTTTAAAATTTTTTCCACCAATCATTAACTTCACCTCACATAATTGATTAATTTCCATAGAAGTATTGTTTGGCATTCTAACACATAATATCACAAGCATTGAAGTGTTATTCAATTGCATCACTGTAACCAATTCCTTAGCAATAAAAGAATGTGATGCTTCAGAATAAAATAAAACTCTCATTGGTCTATGCTAGAGATATATGATACATATCATTTGTCATTGCATTGGATATTTAAGATTAACTTATTAATGTAAATTCTTACGGATATTATGATTAACATGACACAACATGAATTCTATTATAATAAGAAGAGGACTTAAAATCTCTTAAATGTAAAACATGCCTATGTAACGTTAGGGGAGTCCTTAACTTTCTACCTTAAAGCGCATAAACCTTGGATTGAACATTTTGCTGGGTCTGACTAGGATTTGACTCTGATCATGAAGATGTAGATTTCATTGGCCTGTCAAAGCTTTCTGAGGTGGTGCAACACTGCCTTCAAAATTTGTGGGATCCCTTTGTCTCAATATAGGGCAATTCCTCGCCAAATGTGTTGGTTTGTGGGACCAAAAATAAGTGTTGGATCCAGAAAGACACCCTTGTGAGACCTTTCACTCTTGTCACACTTCTTTGCTTCAATCTGATTGCCAACTTTGCTGGATCTGACCTTTTTAGCACTTGTCTTTCCTGATTGAAAGGGCGAACTGCCCTAAAAGCTCTTAGGAAACTTAGATCTCTTTGAATTTCTCCTCTTCTGTAGGTTCATCCTTCTCTTAGTAGCTTCTAAATTCAACTCAATCTTCTTACCCTCCATCCCAAACTAGAATAATCATTGATCCCAAGAGGAGTCTGTGGTTGTCTAATCATATCCTTCAACCCAGATAAAAATCTTTGGCACTTCTTTGCATTTGGAATCAACTTGGGTGTGTACATTGAAAGCATTGTGAATTTTTCCTAAGATTTCTTATCGAGTGATCATCTTGTACCAACCGAATAAATTTGTCTTACATCTATGTCTCACTAATAGTGGTGCGAACTAATCTCTAAATGTTATCACAAATTCATCTCACTGCACCAAGTGGTCGACTCTACCCCAAATTTATTTGGGAACTGTCCTCAACACCATCTCTCTACTTCTCCCTCTAAAGGGAGAAGCACAACTCTACTATCAGGTGTACAAAACCCATCTAAAATCTTTTCCTCTCTCAACAATCAATTCCTAACATTCACTGGACTTTCTTCTCAAGAAAAGAGAGGTGGCCTCATATCCTGAATTAGGAAATATTTGTCCATCTAACCTTCCCCCACCAAAACTGGTTTGAGACTGAGAGTAATTAATCACATGAGTTACTACAGTCATCATCTCAAAAAAAGTATCTGCATTCGCAGTAATCTGTGGCGGTGCATCGATTTCTGTCTCATCATCTCTAACTTATTTCTTTTGATATTTTTATATTTCTGAAATAACATAAGAAAGATTATAATTAGACACAATTTTCCTCTTAGTTAATATTATTTATGAATTAATTTAATCAACCGAATGATATTTTTTTATCATAATCCAACTTAATTTTCTGATAACACCCTTATCACGACCCAACCTGGTATCTTAGCATTAATTGAGTCAAAAACTGCGATTGGACGGTATTAACATTTCATTTATTTTTCTTCATGACTTCCAATATATAAAACTGTCGCTAAGAAATTACTAAGTACACTACTTAGAAAACAGAACATATACAAATGACAACTTAATCTGCAAACAACCTCTCATTGTATATATAACAATATCTCACTAATAGAAGAAATCGGTAGAAAAAAGAACAATCACATCACAATATAATACCTATCAACCGTAGTTCTCTTGTAAACTGAATCTTCATGTCAACTTATCAATCTATAATATTTCATGAAAGAAATAATTAAATTTGATAGTAAATTTTTACGACTTAGTAAATAATTATAATCTGATTATGCATTAAATTCATATGCAAATGCTATTGCATGAATGACAAAAAATAACGTAGTTCATTACTGAATTAAACTATAGACTTTTAATTTAAATTTTGTCATCTTATTATTTATTAGATTCATATGCAAAATGTTGTTTATAAATGACAAAAACAATAGTTTATTACTTAATATAACTATAACTTTTCATTTTAAATTTAATCATTTCCGTTTCAATTTAAGTATTTACCATTTTTTATCTCTTTAAGAAGTCGCATCAGGATTACTATCATATCCGAATGTATCAACAAAATTATACCCATAGGCACCCTAAAAAATTTGTACTTGAATGTACACCTTTATATTGTTATGTTTTTTAATGCACGGGTTCAACACATCCACTGCAGTACCATCTAGGAGTAATTTTGATTAACTTGAACATTTACATTTTATTACTTCTATTTAAGGTCACTGAAATTATTATTATTTTTTTCATTTTCATTTCATTCATTTCAGTAATTCTTTAATTCACAACATGCCTTTGATTATAAAAACATATATATTAAGCAAAAATGCACTTTTTAATTTAAAATATTTAAGAAATTAAATACTCACATTTGTCTTGAATGACCTCTTTACAAGCTTAATCCTCGAATAACTTTATTTTATTATCACTTTATCTTTGACCCTACTTCTTTTGCCCAAATCAGGATCCAAACCATAAATGATTGAATCAAAAATTTTTTCAAGAACTATTTAAATTCATTAAATCATACTTAATTGGTTCAATTAATTAAACAAAATATTTTATATAAATAAATATCTAAACTTTTATCTTTCTTTTTTGAGCTCGGATAGGTTCTCCCCTCGCTCACACGCTTCACCTTCTTCTTTTTGATTTTAATTAACCCTAAAATTAATTTTAACACTTCATATGAGTTTAATTTTTTTACATGTTACAAACCTCATAAAAATAATATAAACCTTTATGTTATCTTAATCCACTTCTCGGCTCAGTTCCCCTTATCCTGTACACTAAGCTTTGCTGGGCTTCGCTACACTTCATGGCTCAGTCTCCCTTTTCTAGATCTCTCTCTTCTTCCTCCTCTTCCTTTGATCTTGATGCGATACAACACAATGCACGAGATGCTTCCTCCTCCCTCTTCGTAACTTCGTCGGGGCCATCTCGCCACCTCATGGACGAAACTGCCCTTGCTTTCTCTTCCTCCTCTCGACAAAGCCACACAGTTTCTTCCCCTAACTTCTTTCAAGTGGTGCTAGATTCAACAAAAGACAGTGAGCCGATCTCCTCCCTTCGCATTGTTTCCTCCTTTGGCTAGTGCTTCCTCCTTTCTTTCTCCTCGGTGCCACTAGCATATTATGCATGAGGTTGCCTTCCTTCTGTTAGGGGAATAAAGATCCATAATTTTATTTTGATTTGACCTTTACATCATCACAATAGTTGATATTGAATTTTATATGCATTTTTGGATTTCATAATTTTTTTGTGCTTTCTTTACCATCCATTGGTTGTGTTGGGCTTGTCATTTTGCTTCTTACTTTTTGGTGGAGATGATTCATTTTGGGTACTTCATATCAAATTGTGCTAAATTTATTTGAATATTATATATTTTCTAACATGTCATTTTCCAAAGAATTCAATTCTCTCATCTTGTAAGTGCATTTTTACTTACTCTCCAAAATGTAAAGATACTTCGACGCATGGTCTATCCATCAACTGTTATTTTACCACTAAGAACTAAACTGCGAATGATATTAAGAAAAATAATTTCAGCGTTGCAGTAAAATCAGATTTTTCTCCACCGGTGCGGGGAACACTGCACAACATCTGAATAAATTTTGATACAGCATCCAAAAGAGAGTCATTTTGGGATCACCGGCACCAGTAATGCTGCAACGGTTGAAAAACCTTTTCTATGAAAATTTATTATAATGAGAAAAGACAAGTTTTCTTCATTGTGAATTCTTGTGTTTGCCGAAAACGTGCCATGAATTGTGATTATGTAGAACCTATGATCATTAGAGTAAAATAAATAAACCTTAGGTGTGAATGATAAATGTAAATATTAAACTTTGGGTATTAGGCATGTAAATATATAAGAATTTTGTGGTCTGTATGTAAATTTCCCTTTAAATTATTAGAAATTTAATTACCTTCGGCCTAATATCTTAAAAAGGCAACCTTTTATGTTGCTTTACCATTAATCTAAAACTATGATGCCCGTGCCTGCAAATTTTCAACTCGCCTATTTTCCTGTATGAATTTTTCCTGTTCATAGATCATATATGAAGCTTCTGCTTCATTTCTTCTGTCGCTGTGTTTAGTTCACCTACAAAATCCCCGAGCCATCTGTCTCAATTTATTAATTTAAGCAGTTGGTATTTGCAAATCTTGTTTACCGTAATGATTTGTGTATTCCAATCTTTTTTTTTTTTTTTGTTCTCCTATTTGTAAAGGGTAATTACATACATAGCACACAATTCTATTGTATTTACACATCATTTTCTGTTCTCCTAATTATAAGGGGAATTTACATACATGGAACGCAATGCTTAGGTGTAAGATATGTAAATACGTAAATACATAATAATTCTATGTAAATTTCCCTATTTATGTATCACAGACCATTCTGATGTGTAACTTCAAACCTTAGAGCAGCTCTATTGGAAAAAAAATTACATATGGACTCCGGATGCATCTGGAGTCCAATGGTGGGACGCCATGTGTTAAGTGGGACTCACCTCTTCTAACACAGGGCAATGGTAGTGTATCGTGGTGGGGCCCACTTGACACATGGCACCCCACTATTGGACTCCATGCGCAAATTGAATCCGGAGTCCGTATGTAATACTTTCTCGCTCTATTGGGGATGAAGTCGAGTGGATGGAAGATGGAGTTAAAACTATATTGGCCCCAATATACCTGCTATTAAGTTTGACCCAAATAGGGGAAGAAAATTATGGTTCAACAGTATGATAGCTGCTTATACTGGTTGGAAACATTTGCGAAATGATCCTGTTAAATCAGCAAAATTTGGAAATGGAACACCTTTGCCATCTCAAGATGATGCATGATGCCCACAAGATAGTTTTCTTGTTTGATGATATACAATATATTAAAATATTTTGTATGGATTTGTTTTTTCAATAAGATATAGGTTCATTTACATACATGCCACCAAATTCCTATGTACTTACATATTACCGTCTAAACTTTGCGTTCTACATTCCTACCGTCTAAATCTTTTGGATCACATAAAAAATATCATTATTTTTAAGTTTTGAAAGTGAAATACCCCTTTTCATGCATATGTAAGGTTGCATATATGTTAAATTTGAAGTTTTGGTGTTGGAGATGTAAATACATATGAATTGAGTGTTATGTATATAAATCTTCCTAAGATATTTTGCTGGCTAGTAGCCTGTTAGGTAAGTATTTCACAATATATAAAGAGCTGGAAAAATTCCAGCTGACTTGTCTCGTTTTTGCTCAATTCAGTCTACTATATGTGACATTAGAAGATTTTTTTTCTTAATTATTTTGGAATGGCTAATGTTTCTTTTCTTTTATTTTGATAGGAACAGTTGCTCTTGTTTTTGAGCAGTATGCTTTATACATTGATTTTAAGGTTATGGTCCAGAAGTTTGGATGATTTTGCAAGAGATTTTTTATTATTTATTAGGGCATTTACATACCACTCAATTCCTATGAATTTACATATCTAACACCATATGTGAGACACATTTTCATTCATAGGTTTTCAACACCAGTTTTATAAATGTTAATATCAAACTTAAAGTGTTAAATATGTAAATACATAAGAACTGGGCCGAATGTACATAAATTTCCCTAAATTAAAATCGCTCTAATTCTCCTTCCTATCCCAAGAGTCCAGAAATTTTAGCAGCAGAGAACTATCTTCCAGGCTTTGTTAGTCTTCTTCCTGATCTATCAGAAGTTGAAGAAGTGTGCTCTTCTGAATCAGTATAATCATCATTAGAGAGGGAAACTGGGCTGTTCTCCTTGCCATTTTCATGGCTGCAGACTCATCAACATGACTATTCTCCATTAAAGCTTCTTTACCATCGTCATCTTCCTTCTTCGCCTCTTTGATCCCAGAAAACTGAATGTAAGAGTTTTCTATTCGTATCACAGGCATTATCTTCAGTAAAGTTGCAAGTTTTGAGTGTTCCAAGTGTTGCATATATGTAAGTTTTAATGTTCTGACACATACATATCACTTAAGTCTTATGTGTTTATATGTCTAACAACTAAATTTCAATTTACACATCTAGTACCTAAGCATAGCATGCTTACCTACATAAATCCATACATCTTGTTTGAAGACAAGGAAGATATAAGAAATTATACTCAATTACAAACCTTCTAAAAGTGCTACAAAGAGTTTTTGAGTACACACACGTCATGAGCAAGATACATGGAATAATCACATATCTAGGACTACGTTAGTACATGCTTAAGTTTATTAAAGTTCATGCTTCATAATATTTGGATATTTTCACAGGTCCTTAACTTCAACGATAACAGTAATGTCTCTACATATTTATAACACAATAATTATATATCTATATATATCATTGACTGAAATCAATACTTTGATAAAGAATTTGACATCTTCAAAGTTCTTCATATTGTTTTCTCTTGCTGAGATTTCTGCGTTATGGTCATAACTTATTGCATTAGTCGCTTCATCCATTCATTTGAAATAGTTTCTATCGTTCTCCGAGCAATGTTTTGGGCAACGGTAAAATTTTCTTCCACAACTTGTGTCTTTTTGAGATATGTATATTTATGATAAATTTTTTGAGTACCAATTCCTTGTGATGTTGATGAATAACTTGAGCTCATTCTTGCTATCATCCTTTTAGAAATGAGAAAAATAAAAAATAGAAAATGAACACACATTTTCATGCATACTCAAAGTATTAGAGTATGGAGCTCCACATAAATTTACATGTTTGGAATCAAACTCACAAATATGATAATCTAATTTCATATTATATAAGCATAAGAATTAATCATAGAAACAAATAAGAAAGGAATCATATATGCATCTAGAGACTAGACCAATTAAAGCCTAACTTGTTTCACCTGAAAAAGAAATTGAAAAATATAAGACGCACTTTACACAATACAAATGTTTATAAATCAAGACGAGCGATGTATGCCACGACGTGTGTCTGGTAGCAGGATTTACGCAAGATCATGCATCCCATCAATCATACATACTACAAAACTCTAAAATGCTTGCCTGAAGCCCCAGATATATTAAACCCCATTGGATGGTGGGTTTATGGAATTTAGAGGAGTTGAGTGGGGCAAAGTGGGGTGGGAGGAAGGGAGAGAAAGAAGTGTTAGTCGGTTATGGGCGGAGTGGAAAGAGAGAAGGGCGACTTCAGACAAAGCTCACGGCTGAATTTAGAGGAACTGAGCGTGCAAAGAGGGGGTGTGTGAAACCCCTTAAGTAGATTGGAGTGAAACACTTATATATCGAGGTGTCTTTTGGTATACTGACAGACTCTCCTAGAATGGGTGATCTCTTGGGAAGTTACCAACTAGACGAAATTGTGTTGGCATTTGGCCAAAGTGGACAATATCCTGTGGGTGAGACTTTGGGCTCTCACAAATGGAATCAGAGCATTACACCTGCCAGAAGATGGGAACTAGGTGACATATAGTACAAAGTCCTACGCCATGGGAGTCACTTCTTGAATCAATGATAAGAAAAAAGTGCTACATTGTACATTTTCAATCCATAGGGGCCACCTCTAAAAGCCTATGTGCCTGCTGGATGATTATGAGTAAGAATACTGATGGACACGTCTTTTATTTAAGTGAAGGAGATTTTGAAACCTCTTTAAGAGAATTGAAGCCGAACTCTTAAATATCAAGTAGTCTTTTGGTGTAACAGTGAGCTTTCATTAGAAACTCTAAAGTTAAGTGTACCCGTCGTGGAGTAATCCTAGAATGGTTGACCTCTTAAGAATTCATACAAATAGGGCAAAATCATGAGACTATTTGATCAAAAGAGATAATACTTTGATGGGTGAGAGTTTCGGCCGTCACTTGGTAAGAAAAAATGGAGTGTTATTCGGGTAGAAGTGGAGAGTAAAGCTGTGATCCGGCGGGATGGAGAGCTTTTAAGTTTAGGGTCCGTGATACATAATTTCAGATGCTTGGAGTTCACGGTATGTAAAAATATTTTAATCTATAATAAAATAAAATACACTCTTTAACCCATAACATAAGTATGGTGATACGTAAATCTTCCTTAAATAAATTGCTCACACCTTGGCACGTCTTTATATGCAGCAAGCCTAATTCCAAATTCCAAATTCCAATGCATGATCTGGACAAATAAACAAACCTTGTAGTAGGTATGCATCTGTCAGCTGACTTGAAATTTCTTCAATCAACGCAGACTGTATGATAAGCGTAGAGCAGGTCACATGCATTTGTCTTTTGTGCGTATTAGAGTAACAGTACATCTGTATGCTCTGTCATCAAAATGTCACAAGTCTGTATAATGTGTGATTAAAATATGTAGAAATGGAATGATTAAAATAATTTAAGCAAAGAAAAAAAATTAAAATTTGGGTATACTCCAATAATACATAATATGTCAGTGGCATGCATGTAAATACATAAGAAGTCAGTGGCATGCATGTAAATCTTTCTTAAAACATTGCAAATCATTCAAATTATCACACATATACAGACTTAAAATACCAAAATTCAAAAGGAGTAATCAGGAGGTTTCTTCAACGTCCTGCTACTCAAAACCTTCCCCCTCTCCTCATCCTCCTCCTCCTCCTCCTCCTCGCCAAACGCCGGATGAGTCAAAATGCTCCCAAGCAACTGAGTCCCCCGTAATGCATTCGTCAGCGGCAAATGCCCCGCCGGCGTCTCATCGCCGAGCTCCCAAATGAACTCCCCCGGAAAGGATCTATAGGTGAATTGCTCCACCTCCGTCTCCATTCTCCTCATCCAACCTACCTCAATGAAGAATTTCGTGAAATCCCGCTGTGCCTTCTCCCACAGCCTCCGCTGCACGCTGTATCCGAATCGGCCGCCGCTGTGGCATCGCCAGAGATCATCGATGGCTCGAAGGTCGTCGGCAGCGATGAATTGGACTTCGGAGAAGAAAACGTATCCGCGCATCTCGGCGGCTTCTCCGGCTAATCGAATGAGGAGACGGCGTGTATCGTGATCGGCTTGGCGGAAATTGGCGGCGGACAGGTGGTGCGCGAGGGAGTCGAAGGCGAGGATGGAGGAGGAGGAGAGGGAGAGGGTGGCGGCGGGGAGGTGGGGACGAAGGGGGGGGGGAGGCGGAGGAACTGGAGGGAGGTGGTGGCCATGGAGGGGGATAAGAAATGGGTGGAAGAAGGAGGAGGAGTTTGGGGTTGTTGGTATTAATGGGGGAGGGGGGTTATAAAGGAGATGATGGTGGGGGGGATATGGGACACGTGGCAATGAACTCTGTGATTGGTGGGTAGAGGGTGAGGGGGGATTTTGTGGGTGCCACGTAGGATTTCGGGCTATGGGCTTAGATGGGGTGGGAGAAATTTAAATTTTAGAGTTACATGAATATAAATGTAAAATGTAAAGTTTAGGTGTTAATTATATAAATACATAAAAAATGGGTGCTATTTATATAAATACCCAAATTTTGTATGAACAGAGACAAAATAACAAATGCCAAAAAAATTTTTTTTTCTTTTGACAACTTAGGAATAGTTATTCCCTGATGAATATGGTGGACAATGCTTATTTAATCCTTATAAAATGATTTTTTTTTTCAGAAAATAAATATAATATTGTAGATGTCCAGTTGGTAAATATAAATCATGAAATTCATTTTGGATTATTAGATTTAGTTCATGAATTATTTAAAAAATATTTAAATTTTGATGAATTTAAGTGTGTTTCTATAGCAGAGGCCGAATCAGGTTATGTCCAGGTGTGGAATTTATAATTTCTCAATATAAATAATAAAATATAATATTTTTGGTAGTGATAATGCTAGTAATCACTATCATAGTGATAATGCTAATAATATAAATCTTTCTAATTTTGAATACTGATGATAGTTTGATTTTAGATTTTGGGTCACGCTTTCTCTACCTTACTTTTCTCTCTCGCTTCTTGAACATTGGTGCTACACTTCATTGATAAGTGATAGCTCAATGACACACATGTATTCTTTGAAGGACTATGGGTCTAGTCTTTGGTGGATGATCAATCTCAAATGACTTGGAAGGAAGTTGGCTCATTACGGATGAGTCATGTTTTAGATGCTTCTATCAAACTTTTGGCCACCCGTGAGGTAGATTGGATGACCTTGCTCTATGATAATGATCTTTAATTCTATGAAGATCAGTTTTAGCTCAAGATCCGCCTTATGTTGGTCGACAAATTCAAGTTGTTGGGGATGGAGGTGTTTTTTGGTTCTTTTAAAAAATTTAGAGTCGTCAGTCTGTCTATATATATGTTGTCATTTGATTCTTCTTCCAAATAAATCTCTCTCTGATCATATCAATGATTTGAAGATGAGATTAATAAAAAAAGACGAGATATACAATGAAATAAACCAACAAATTTTAGAAAGAAACGTAGAGGGCTCCTGTATAAGGTAATACTCGTGCGACAAGTCGAGAGTATAGTCTGAACAAGATTTGATCGAAATACCTCGAAACACAGCATCCATGAAGAGGATCCTTACATAAGCTGTCCATAATCTGAGAACCAGAAAGAACATTTTTATTTCTGGGGTCAAGGGCACTCCTAAAGGAACATACCCCTTAGGTTAATTACATCTTCAGGGGTGTCCAAGAAGACTCAATAAAAGGGGTCACTTATATTATCATAAAATAAGACACCAAAGGAGAGTTATTTCATGTGAAAATGCCCCTATGCTTTCAAAGCTCTCGCTAAGCCACAAGACAGAGTGAGTTTTCACATCCTAAGTGGGTAGCGGCTCATTAATATGTGAAACCTACGAAAAAACACTGCTCTTTTCTTTATGATTGATCTCAGTGTTATTATGAAGAGTTCATTGGGGTCGACTGAAGTGAGTTTGCAATAAGTCCCAATTGGTTCTCTATGTTCCTAATAGTCACTCTTTGGCTTTGGAACTTATTCCTCATTTGCAATACAAATTCCTCCCACGATATTTTTTTCCTTGAATTGTTGGTTTGTCTTAAACTAGGAGAAGAATGTCTCAGGTTAGAACCACCCTGATTGTTCCAATTTCCGAAGGGTTAGGCTGATTACACCCCCATTATTGGTTTCTTGCACCTTGATTATTATTCCAACTAAATTTAGGGTGGTTCTTTCAACTGAGATTATAATAATTGGAATACAGGTTGTTCATCCTGTTATTGATCACAATTAAGGTCTCAAGAGATTAAGTGTTAGCAAAGACCAATTTTCTGAATGAATTTTCCTCAATCACTTGTGGTCCTTGAGGCCGGTTCATCCCAAATTGATCCAGCTTCTTAGATATAACAACTACCTGAGAAGTTAAAATCGAAAGAACGTCCGTGTCATGTACACTTGCTACCTTTATGGGGTTCACTCTTTCAGAAAGCCATTGAAAATTGTTAGTAGCCATCTCCTAAATCAGAGAATATGCCTCATCAAATGGCTTTAACATAAGCGAGCAACCAACGACAACAATGATAGACCTAAGAGAAACTATTAACCCATTGTAAAAAGTCCGATTTATCAACCAAACGTGTCGTGCAGGATGGGAGCACTTCTTAAGAAGTTCCTTGAATCGTTCCCAAGCTTCATAAATTGACTCACCTTCATACTAGCAAAATGAAGTGATATCATTCCTTAATTTAGCTGTGTTTGAAGATGAGAAATTATTAGCTAGGAATTTCTGGGCTAAGTCACTCCACATCCTAATTGATCTAGGTGCTAATGAGGTTAACCACATTTTGGCCTTGAGACTTAAGAAGAAAGAAAAAAACCTTACCCTAACAACGTCATTGGAAACATCATTATAGCAAAATGTGGCGCAAAGTTCTAAGAAACTCGCTAAATGTAAGTTCGAACCTTCACATAGGGTTCCCCCAAACTGCTTGTTCTACACCATTTGGATGATAACATTCTTCAGTTCAAACGTGTTAGCTTCTACACCAGGGCTTTGAATACTCAAATGAATTTTTTCTGTCGTAGGGTTAGCATAATCTCTTAAGGTTTCGTGTCCATTTGGATGTTTATGGGTTGGTTCCTAAATTTCTGGGTAATTTTGTATATTGCTTGCCATATCTCGTATGAGTTGTTCAAGTCTCTTTTGTTTTTGAATTTTCGTTCAAGTCTCTTTTGTTTTTGAATTTTCCTAATAGTTTTCCCTAACTCAGAATCGTAAGGTTCAAGTTTCGTGGGTTCTGAACTACACATTTACAAACTAGAGATCCCTAAAATTTCACAAACAATCAAACAACAATATTTTTGGTTTTTCAAAAACAATGACAACAATAAAACAATAACTGTTAATACTACAAGTTTTCAAGTCTAAGACCTAGAAGTTCAACTAAAATTTTTCTAGTTAAAACACCGTCGCTCCCTGACCACAATGCCAAAAACTTAATACAACTTCCAGGTGCAACCACACTGGGGGCTCACTCAAGTGCATGTGTCGTATCAATAAAATTAGATTTTAGAGTGCAGAGTGTCGATCCCATAATGAATGATGAAATTTTCGTTAGAATAAGTTATAGTCTACTGGTTTTAAGTCCTAACCTAAAAAGTTAAAAATGTTAAAGTCTGAAAAGCTGACCTACTGTGTTATAACAAACAACAAATTTAAATTCTACACAAGTAATCCAACTCTTAATAATTTGGATTAAGAGATATCAATTAGTTAAGAGTTTCTTCCTTGTCATGAGTTAAGTGAATGGCATGAAATATAAATTTGCAAGTAGTAAAATATCTAGTGACCAATAGGAGCAACGAACTTCTTTACCCTCTTCTGAGTGCATAAAGAAGCTTTGATATAAATGAATTTAATTCTTTAAATCCCATAACTATCTTTTCAAAGAATATTTCCCTAACATTAGCATCACCCCACAAGACATATCAACTTATATCCCATAGTTTAATGTGATTAACCTAGTTGATTCTACCATAATTTTCCCAAGTCTTATGGTTCACAATATACTTTAACAATTCACTTGGGCACAATGAAAAGTAAATTAAGTTCTTAATGCTAATATCACCAATTGAAAATAAAGAAATTACATAACACTTCACTTTTCATTCATCCTACATAATCATCACAAGACAGAGTACCCAAGAAGCATGCTGATTTCACCAAACAAATGCATCAAACACAAAAGAAATCCACTAAATCTTTGTTAAAATAGAAACACACAAAGCAATACAAAGATACTTAGCTAATTTCTCCTTTAAAATGACCATAAGTTGACTCAACAAGCACACTTTCTGATTCCCTAAGCTTCTACACTAGAAAATCTCCTCTTCTCCTGCACTGGAATAAGGGACTCTAAACAGAACCTCCTAAGTACTCCCAAGAGCATAAATCAATCATCAATCCCTCCAAAAAGCATCAACCCTTCAAGCCTGCATTCCTCTGCTATATATAAACATTTTATAGCAGCTTCCACAACTCCCCATCATCCTTACACGATCATCCACATGTTCTCCCACGTTTGGGATCGCAAACTGCAGCAACTGCTCCAGGCAATTTCTGGCTCCTAGGCGCTTAGGCTTCAGGCACTCTGTATGCTTAAGGTTGGGTGCCTAGGCACTGATATCGCGGTGCCTAGGCGCCCAATGTTTGGTGCCTAAGCACAAACCTCTCGGGTTGTGCTCTTTTAGGATTGGTCAAGATGCCCAAGGGTTTGGAGCTTAGGCTCCTAGTAATCACTTTTCCTCCTTTAAGCTCCATGTCTTTTTCTGCCTTCCCCACTTCAATTACCTGTTATACCTGCAAGAAAACACAAACATAACTTCCTTAAAGTGTAATATCTTAAGTATAAATGTATAAGGACAATCCTGAATTTTGATCAACTTTTTCATGCATTAATAAGTGAAAAAAAAGAGTAAAGTTTAGCTGTTAGATATGTAAATACATAGAAATTGGGTGGCATTAATAAAAATTTGAAGACGAATATGATAAAAAATACAGAACATTATAAGTGTGTATGCATGTTAAAAGTGTGTATGCATTTTAAAAAACTCATAAAATTTCAAAATTTATTTAAATATATTAGTTGCAGTTGCAAGTTCACCGTGAATAGCTGCAATCAACTCAACTAACACTACGGTTGTCAAACCACCAAGCTAAGTATAACCAGCATCACTCAATCTCATATAGATGCTAAACAACAATTAATGTTGTGAAGTATAGCAGCAATAGATTAGTCAAGTAGCGAGAAGGCTACTCAGGTGAAAAAAATGTTGTGAAGTATAGATGTTAATCAACGATGCTTGCTCTGAATAATTCAGAAGGTGTTATTTGACTACTCCGACCAATCTCAATAACATATAAAAGTGATTAATTATAGTTCAAATAGCATCAAATTTCTGCTATTTTGAAGCAAACAAAATTAATTTTCCCTTTTATGATTGTTGTATGTACAAGGGGTAAATTTGCCCAAAAGTAAAGCAACGAGTTGAATTCGTAACTAGTTTTTAAAAAGTACTCACATAGCCGAGCCTGAGGTTCCTACATGCCATCAACAAGAAGAATTTCCACAAAACCCAAGGAAGTTAGCTATAACATCATCCAAAGTGCAAATACCATTGACGTATAATAACATCTTCATTTGACAAAAATAAATTAGACATATGATTATTCATCAAGTGCTTTGGCAAAAAAAATAATCTACACACCATACAATTCTTTTGTATTTTAAATTTGACACCTAAACAATTATATTTACATACATATTTCTCAAAAGATTTTAATATCACTTCAAAAAATATCATCACCATTATTTTTTGGTGAAAGACAACTTTTCTTCGGGTCTATAAAATGCAATGTATATAAAAACTAAAGCATCTAAATCTTACATAGTATAAAAAGATCACAAATATAACTTTATGTATATGAATAAAATGATGCATACATAAGAAAGTTAGATATCAACACATTGGACACATAAATATAGTATTAAGCATATAAGCATATAAGAATTATATGATGTACAACATGTAAGCAAATAAGAATCATGTAATGTGCAGCATGTAAGCACATAAGAATTATGTGATGTGCAAATAAGCATATTAGGATTATGTGATTGCAGGTAAACAAACACATAAGAATTATGTAATGTATAGGTAAGAACATAGGAATTATGTAAGGTGCATGCAAGCACATACTTAAATTGCATGCAATTCAATCCTTTTGCATATTTATATTAACAAAAGAATGATGATTATAGATGCCTCAAATATCAAACTCATAAGAATCATAAACCACAAGAACTTCTTTCAAACTGATACATTTCCAAGTTAATCAAGCATATATATATATATATATATATATATATATATATA